CATTTTTCAGGCTATTTTGTTTAGGCTTAAAAGCAATCCTTATTCTCATAGGTTAGAGTTTAACAATGTAGTAGGTTCCTAACTGTGACTGAAGTTGAACACAATTTGGATAGTAATCTGATTAAGTTTATTTTCTCTGAAGCATATATGTAGATGGTGGCTATTTGGAGAAAAAAGCCATGTGTCTTCCTTGTATCTTCCCTAATTAAATAATGAATAAAAATGCCCAGTGTGCTAGTACATTTTTTTTAATATATACATGTGCCGTATGCAAACTCAAACCCTTGGTATAGGGCTTAAAATAGTGGATTCCAAAGTTAAAAACAGAAGAAAGATTAATCTGTTATAAGAAAATCTAAGGGAAAGTAAAAGCGCATTTATTGTTTGAACAAGAGTATTTCAAAGATCCTTACTTTGTATTCTGATGCCTTGTTTCTGTCTTAATATTCATGTTTTCAGACGAAAGGCTCTTTTTCCCTGTGTTTGTACTATTCAGATATATGGGAACAGTTTAAGTGTTTGTCTACATTAACTTTATATTGTTTACCTGTAGACTCTGTCGAGAAGCTCTGGCTTCAGTTCTGGCAAATAACTATCCCTAGTGCATCTCTTAACGCTTCCTTTAATTCAGACTGTTCCAGAGGATAATCCTAGGATTAGGATGATGAAGACTGTAATTTGGAGTCAGATGAAACAGGAGATTTTTCTGGCACCAAATAATTTGCCTTTAACAAGGCATACTAAAAAATGCAAGTCTTAGGGGAAGGCATCTTTGCTTCATTGCTACTAAATATAAAATCAATACAGAAATCCACTGAGACCAGGCCTGGATCAGACATTCCTGTTCACTGTGATTGTATGTTTATATGCTTTATTTATATCATGTACATTGCATAGGGTATGGTAGGAATCTCTTCTAATCCTAAACACCATAGAAAAAGTACTGCTGCCAACTTCGTGTCTCAGTTTCCCACAAGAAAGTAGAGGCATGTCAATTTATTGATAAGGAGATGTCTTTTAAAGTGTAGTTGGGGAAATAAGTTTTAATACAAGACAACTTCAAGTTACACCATGAAAAGGTTTGACCAGTTTTTGACTATTCCTGATTTTTGTAATAGCAGTATACCAGGGGAAAAAAAAAACCTCAAGCCTTCTTGGGGTTTCAAGGAAAGTATTTGGAGCGGAGGTCTTCTGTCATGTCAAACATCTTTTCTCTCTGCAGTTCAGAGGCAAAATACCTCCTCCATGTGATCCTGTGTGCAAGGTCATAGACTGGATTCTTGCTGTTTGGCACCAGCTGAACTCTTGCTTATCCCGTCTGGGAGCACCTGAAGCACTTATGGGGCCAAAACATTTCTTCTCTTGTCCTGTGGTGCCAGGGCATGGCCAAGCGACCGTGAAGTAAGATTTCTGTTTCCTATTTGACACTGTTCAGTGCCAACTAGATACTTCTTACAAATGTAGTTCTGTTTCTCCCACAACACATCTGACTCGGCAACCTTGAAAGTATTTTAGCGGAAGTTATTGGAAGTTTTAAACTTTTGTTTGATATTTAATTACTAGAAGGGCAATTCTGAAGGACACAAGTGGGAACTGGGTGTCTAACAGTGGTTGAAAGTCAGTCTTGCTGTGGTCTTTCAGTTATTTTCTGACACAGAAGTTGCAAATATTACTTGTACTGGAACGGCTAATATTGCTCAACCTTTTAAAGGTTTTGTTCTTCATTTCAAGATGGCCCTGTAAAGAAAGCTGTTCGTTAGTGAACAGACCAAAATAAGATTCAAGAATTCTGAGCTTGAAAAGTTGGAAAAGTTTCCTTTTGAAGTTGTGTATTAGGGACATTTGGAGAATGATTTCTCACTCTTTTTAATATCTGGTATCATTTTTAAACATATGTACAACTTCACGGATGTATTAGCTTAGTAAATAAGGCAGATACATACATTTAGCTATACATATGGTTAGATGTCCAGTAACATAAAAGAAGAACGATGAAAATTTTGTCTCTTCTTGCCTACAATTGCATGAACATCTGCTCACTTTCCAACTACTCTGCAAATGCTAGCAAGTGATAGAAGAATTTTAAAATATGTTAATTTCATGCTAAGATGTTGCTTGGCTGTATTAGAAAGGTAATGAGCCCCTAATTAAAGTTCAGACTTAGTCAGAATTCAAACAGTAACGTTGGTTTCCGGAGATGGGACATTGCTTTTCTCACCCTGCTTCATAGCATTCTCCTGAATTGCCACTTCTGTTCCCTCTGTGACTTTTCTCTCTGGAACTAGTTTCTGCTGACCTTTCTTCCAGGGTCCTTTGCTTAGCGTGTGCACTGGCTTTCGCATCTTTTGTTCTGTCTGCAGGTCTTGATACATTTTGCGTGTTCATTTTCCTTTTTTTTTTTTTTTCCCTAAAAGGACAGATTATCTAATATCCAGAGTAAAGGTCTAAATGTGGATGTAGCGTTGACTTGAAATTTTATGGGCGCTGTGAAATAAAAAAAGAATAAAGTATAGCATGCATCTAGGTTCTGTCTCCCTCTTGAATCATGTCCTCTGAAATGTCTTAATCATTTATTTATTGCAATGGCATTAGTAGAGGAGAGAAAAACTATTCTTTAGATACCTTAATTATGCATTTCTGAGCTTGGATTTCTCCAAAGTGTAACTTTGACTGGATTCACAATGCTTGCTTTTGAGCACAACCCCGGAATGTCTTTTATAGTAGTGATATGCCATCCGACTCCTCATTTTAAAGTAGTTTTTGTCCACTAATAAACAATTAAAAAGCACAGCTCCAGTGAGCTCTTACTGGACGCTTTTAGTTTAGCACCATGACAGCTAACAGTGTGGTCATATAACTAGCAATAAATACCTTTAATTAGCAGCTCAGTGGTTGCTGTTATTTCAATCTAATTAGCCACTCCTGTCCTCTTACCCCTCCTCTCCACTGTGCTATTCTGCTGCTTTTTGCATTTATTAAAGCTTCACTGAGTCAGTTTGATTCATTAAGACGGCAGACAGCGATCTACAAACTGGGTTTCTTCTGGGCGAAGTGTTAGCAGGAGGCAAGGGGTAGAAGCAGGCAGCTGGGAGGGGAGAGAGAAGGTGGGACAGGGAATTCTTTCCTGCCGTGTGCTGGCTCATGTAGCTTCACGTGTTTTGGAGGGTAGAGTGTGTAAATGAGGAAAATTTTAGCTACCTTTTTTTTTTCTTGGTTTCCATCTAGGGAATTAAAGATGATGTTCCAATGGGAAAGGGTTTCACTTCACAGCTCTTTTTCCGAGGCAGGGGTGTGCTATACCTTTCCTAAGTATCGGCTATATTGAAGAACTTGATCAAGACAAACGCAAACATAAGACTGCATTTAAATACCAGGTTGGAATTGTATTTAGAGAGGATGGCACTGTACAGCCCATCAGTTGTTAACTGTTAGATTAGAATGGGCTCAATTAATTTCATCTTTGCAGCATTCATTTCTGACCATTTATATTAGCAGTATGGCAACTTGTCAAAAGCTTACATTGGCAGAAATGGAGAGGGAGCGTTCGTTATTACTAAAATGAAAGCAGTTGTTTATTTTGGTAGCTTAACTCAGCTAGGAGAAGCAGCCTGTATCTATATGTAGAATGTATCTACAACATTATGCTAAGGAAGCTTCAAGGAACATCTCCAATATGCATTTTATATCTTATTTTAACGACTGTACTAATTATTTTTCTAAGTAATAGAACTTTTATGGAGCTCATACCAGCACTTTGTAGCATGGTAATATATCAGAAAAACTCAATCTTATGCTTCACAGCAAACCAAAAATACACCTATCAAATGATTCATGCATTCTAACTTTAAAAAACACCCCTTCCCCCCCCCCCCCCACCCCCACACCACAA